CGTCGGGCCGATTCCTGTGTCGGGCAAAGAAAAACTAGGCTTTTTAAAAATTCTCAGTAGTAGCACAGAGTCTGGAATTGTGCCCGGTATATGGCAATAGGCTCACCCCCTGTTACATGGGACCCATAAAATAAATAATGAAAAGTGGGTCTTATATTTTACAGTGGCATTAAGTGCCGTAATGTGCACCTTTGCCTACCCCTCCGGGGATAAAGTGATTATTTATTTATTTATTTATTTGGTGATGTTACATTTCAATTCACCTTAAACTGTGAAATCGGAAACATCGATTTTCCTGTTACTCGACCAGGGATCGAGACTACAGACAATATAAAAAACACATTGTCTCGCGTAGATCTACGTTCCGGCCACAGGTTAAATGTTCAAAAAATGTAACACTTAGGCATTTTTAGCGTCGAAATTCCCACATTACCGAGCTTCCTAGTCCGTGAGGGTTTGAAACGTTAATTGGGTTCCGTCGGATGATTGCGTTCATCAAAACTTCGGGGCTAGCGTGTTGCGGGTTCCGTAGGTAGTAGCGGTCGATAGTGTACCAATTAGGTATGTTGATCACGTGCGCCAACGTGTCGGCAATTAGGAATTGTTAAGTGTTGGTCGAGGTGCGAACTGGGGTCGGTTTTGGTAATGTTAACCTTAAAACCTGAAAATTAGGTCTTAAATTATGTTTATTTGGGATTTTCTGAGTTGATTATTGTAAAAAATATCTCACGAGATCCCGAGGGATCGATTCTCGGGTCGGGCAAAGTATTACTGGGTTTTTTTTTATAAATTCTCAGTAGTAGCACGGATTCAGGAATTGTGCGCGGTATACGGCAATAGCCTCACCCCCTATTACATGGGACTCATAACGCAAATAGTGAAAAGTTGGTGTTACATTATACAGTGGCATAATGTACACCTCTGCCTACCCCTTCGGGAATAAAAGGCGTGATTTGATGTTGTGTTATTATAAAAAATGTGTGGTACCTATGTAATATTTTGATACTTGTTCTATTTTGACCCGATTGTAGGATTATGGATGACATTTTCTTTGAGGTAAATGGTGTCTACTGAGGAGTCTCAGTGCAGCAGAAATTCATAAACAACAAGTGTCACATACATCACAAAACGAAAGCTGACGAAATTTTTAACTCCTGTTTAGAACATACAAAACAAAACCCATTTATCTGTAGCCTAATACAAACAGAGTATAATTGAGTTCCTCCCTTCAGAAACAAAGCAGAGTCAATTTACACTTCAAAAAAGCCAAATTACACGAATCCCACAGAATCACGTCGAATCTAACGTTCGTATTTGAATGTGTAAACATAGGAACCGAGTGAGGTACCAGAAACGCGGAAAACTTCACAAATGTATGCAAAAAAGTTGAAAAAGTTGAATGACACCACACAGCAATAAACCGAAGCGAACGTTTCACACTTACGCCTGCGTTTGTTAAAAATTGTTGCGGTGTAGTCTGGTTTTACCTTTATCTAGAGGGTTCTGTAGGGAAAATATTTTAAAGTAGATTTAGACAGGCAGGTTGACACCTTAAATATCTTTTATTGATACTTACAGTAGAGAAATAAGAATAATACTAAAATACAATTGCTTTTTCTTTATTATACTGAAGCCTACTGAGATATAAAACAGTGCGCAATTGCGTACAAAACTTTTTATTATACATACGAAAATGTCACGATTTTACATCAACCTCTTCGACGTAACCTACAATGCTGCGGGTATCACTGTCTATAAGCAGCAGTGACTACTTATCATCAGGTGATCCATCTTCTCGTTTGCCCCTATCGCTCAAATCCCACTCTCAAAGGCCATCCTCCAAAGACTTCCAATCGACGGACTCCTAAAAAACTCGGTATTCTGGTATTTTCCACTCTTTTTATTTGTAACCAATAAAAATTCCGGAAACATTGGTTACATGCGACCTCTAGAATTTATATTGAACAAAAAGTGTGAGCAATAAATAAAAAAAAATCGCTTTCAGGATAGCGTAATCAATTCGCCCTTTTTGCGGCCCACTGGACACAAATTTGAAGACAGAAAAGACTTTTCAACTAGAAAATAGGATACAATTGTATTGATTTAAATTCTTTATTGTCATCGCGAAATATGGATGCTTTGTTAGGAACACTCGCTGAACGCCTTTGTTCCTAAATTGGTTTCATTCGTTCAGTGTTTCGGAAACTTTTCAATATTTTGATATCATTTTTGTAACAATTTAATTGCTTTTTGCTTTGTTTAATGAAGTTGTAACGATGGGTATCCGTTTACATTTTGTTTTGTGTTGTCTTGTGATTATTATTTATGATTGGCTGTCTCAAAATAGGGTAAACGACTAATTTTTATTTTAATGTCCGTCTGGTAGATTATTTTAAATCATTACACACGTATTTTTTATTTTCTTACAGAAACGAATACTTTCCACGATATATTGATTTGAAATGTCGTGTGACGTCACTTTTATGTACATTTTATACGTAGAAATGACGTTTTATCCCCCTTTTAAACTTTGATTCGTTTTATCTAAGTATTGTTTTATTATACGACAAAATAAAAAATACGTGTCTAATATTTTTTAAATACCTAACAAACGGACCAATTAGATTTTTAATTTTCATACCCTGTCGTCATCCCAATTATATGATATCTAGCAGCAGTAGTAGTGTGCAGTAGTAATAGTTACAATTACGACTGCACGGTTGGTGCGGTGGTTGGGCAACCGGCTGCCATTGAACGTGTGGCGTTTTCGATTCTCACACGGAACAACATTTTATATGATCCACAAATTGTTGTTTCGGGTCTGGGTGTCATTGTGTATGTGAACTTGTATGTTTATAAACGTACCCATGACAAAGGAGAAAATCCTAATGTGGTGCAAATATTTCTAAAAAAAACAATGAAATACCTAATATGATAGAAGCGATACTTTTGTGAATTTGTTTTCAAAAAAAGGTGACTCCCGACTGTAAAGATGTGTATTATATATTTTGATTTGAAGATTTTTAACAGAAATATAATCTATACAAATAATAAAATCGTAGGAAAGTCAAAATTGTACATTGAATATGTTTTTAAAAGAATACTTGGAGCGTGATCTGCAATCGATACCGAAGCTAAATATATGGTTTTTGGAATTTTTGTCTGTTTGTCTGCATGGATTTACTTTAAATTTTGCATGAATATTTACTGATAAGTCGGTTTAACATATGGGCTACATATTATCACGCTATCATCTATGGGGGAGGAGCCCTATATTAGGTACTTGATAAAGACTAATTCACAAGCATAAATTCTGCCAGAAGTCATTATTCTACGAAGTCGCGGGCAACAGCTAGTAATAATAATATTATAATAAGTATTTCCCTGTGGTAGCATCCTGGTCTTTGCGATGACTCACCTAAAACTCCATACAATCTACAGTAGTTGAATGATTTTAACATAATTATTTCAGCTGGTTCATAAACATTTCACAGTTTCATTTACAATTAAGAGAGAAAAATAAATAAAATATACCGTCGACTTTAAAAATGATTTTCTCATAAAATTGAACCATAAAAGCTGTAGTGTATGAACATGTACAGTGGAGCAAAATTATTAATAAAATAAATTATACTCGACTTTAATGATGGAGATAATGTTTGTGTGATAATTATGATAGTGAAATAATTATTTACGTTTCAGAACTTAATCTTACAGTTTCTTTCTAAAATGGTTTCATTTTAAAACGATTTGTTGTGACCCGAGAATCTATTAAGATTAGATACAACAAATCGTTCAACACGTTCGAGCGCGAGCCATTTGCGGGCTGCCTGCAAAATGCACGCGTGCAGTCTGCTGGCAACTGCAATCACCAAGTCACCTTATCAACGTGGTGATAATGGTTACCTTAGATTGTTTTTCAGATTAAATTTATCAGCTGGTGATATTGATGATAAATCGTATGTTCGTAAGCGATCAGCGCCGCCCATGGACACCCGCAACACCAAAGGAGTCACAGGTGCGTTGCCGGTCTTTTTGAAAGGAATACGCTCTTTTCTTGTACACTAAAAAAAGAGGTGGTTTATATAATAATTAAAAAAAAACAACGTAATTTTATAATACTTTTAATTTAATAAAATATAAATACATCTCTTTGAAGTCATGAGGTTTTTTCAGTCTAATATAATCATACTATATGTATAAGTTCAAGGCATAAGGCATAATCGCTGTACGCCTATACAGCTTAACAAAATTTTATAAAATTATTGATAGCAACAAAGTACACCTACTTTATTTGCTTAACTGTTATTCATTACATTTGTGAATGGTAGAGAATTTCCATCTTTAGCGACAATTAATTTTTAACATTTAATTTCTTATGTATGAATACAATAGAACATAATTATGAATAAAATAAAACTATATCACAAAATAAATATGTAAGTACAATAATTGTTGTTGCCTAAGTACTATAATGGAATATTAGTATGGATGGTTTTGTACATAAAACTATGTACCTAGACACTAAATAAAAAATTGCATTAAAATAATTAATTTGCACTTGATTGTGTACTATGTACTACAGAAGTCTATGGTTATAAACTAAAGTTTACACTAAACATTTTCATGATAATAAGAAGAATATTTTGTCACTTTAATATTTAATCTCGGTCTAAAATAAATCTAGTTTACTTCTCACAGTAACCACACATACACGCATAAGGCGGTAAACGAGCAGACGGATCACCTGATGGTAAGCAATCGGCGTCGCCCATGGACACCTGGAACACCAGAGGCGTTACAAGTGCGTTACCGGCCTTTTGAGGATTAGGAGTTTGAGGAACGTTGGGGATTCAGGGATTGGGGAGATTGGGGAAGGGGAGGGTAATTGGGCCTCCGGTAACCTCACTCACACGACGAATCACAACGCAAGCGTTGCTTCACGTCAGTTTTCTGTGAGGCCGTGGTATCACTCCGGTCGAGCAGGCCCATTCGTGCCGAAGCACTGGTCTCCCAAACTTAATTTAGTATGTCTTATGAATGTTTAAACATAAACAAGATAAAAAATAAAGTATGCAAAATTGCAGTACATTTAATGGTGAAGTTCAGTATTTATTTAATCATTTAGTTAAAAGATTGTTCTAATTGAGGTACTAGACTACCAAGAGATTGGGCGTAGAAGTCCGGTCTGATAGTTTTGTGATCTAACATTATATCGACGGTGAGGTTATTTAAAACCAATAAGGTTTTGAACCCAGTTGCTTTTCCAAGACCTACATCTTGCTCGATCCTGAAAAAAAAAACACAGGTGAATATAATTCAATTGTAGGTAAACTTAAACCCAGCGGCTTAATTAGAAAGGTAATCAAAATATTTTCTAGCAACTTTTTTGGGAACTTAAATAAGACGTAACACAATTTTTTTTTATCATTTTGTGTACCTACACCACACAGACAATATTACAAAGGACAACACATTACAAACATGAGGTACATAGGTACATAGGTATAAAATTAATATAAAACTGTAAGTCTAAGTCTGTGATGTTTACTACCGATTACCGAAAAATATTACAATATTATTATCAGAACAATTGCTAGAAAATATTACACACAAGCCATTACTTTTTTAAATACTCATAAACAACTCAATACCTTTCGTTCCATTTTAATTTACGTTATTATTTACTCATTATAAACGTTTTTAATTAAATAAATACTTCAACTTAAAAACAATCAAACGACCATATGAAACAAAGTCTCTTTTTGATTAAATTTTAAATGTGACACGTAATATTAAAACCACATAACAATGAACTCGTTGAAAGAGTATCGAGTGTAAATAATTAAAAGTTTAATTGAAATTAAATAAACTGAAACGGTACATTATTAAAATTTCATTAAGTATTAATGTCTACATACTACCATTTTATAGACGAAATGTTAATGAATGTAATCGAGATGAGAAGCATACATTTTGTTGATTATTGTTTATCAATCTCAATCAATTGACGCACGGAATATGATTTTACATTCAGAGGTTTTATCGAGTAATTTGGAATTATAAAAGTAAACTGTCAGATTCTTCAATAATAATCTATTTATATATAAAAATAATCTCGTTTTAGTTACACGATTTATAACTAAAAATGGCTGAATCGATTTGGCTGAAAATTGGTAGCTTAGAACCTTTTTTATCTAAAGATTTTCCAAAAATCCTACAGGAACGAAAAGATACGGGATTGTGCGTACGAATTCGCGGGCAGAAGCTAGCTACATATCATAACAATAATACATAATAAGTAACAATAATAGTAATCCTACATAGTCAAACTTTGAGTAATGTAATTTTAAATAAATAATATATAACTTACATGTCCCCAATAAAGAGCACGCGGCTGGGATCTGACACTCCAGCCCTCTTCATCGCGAACTCTCCGAAGGCCTTGCCAGGTTTACCCAATGTCACTGGTGAACGATTTGTTTCTTCAGCCACTAAGTTTGTGAATGCTCCCGTAGCTAAAATATATGACAGAAGGTTATATTATAACACCATATTGTACAAAAAAAGAACTTAAACAGAAGGAGTAGTTATCCATAAGATCCTAGTTGAGTGATTACAGTTAACCTACGTGGGGCCTAGTAACCTCACATGTCTTTTACCGTCTCATAGCCATCTTTTGTTCATCTTTTTATCATACCTTACACACTATTATACAAAGCTGAAGAGTTTGCTTGATTGTTTGTTTGTCTGTTTGTTTATTTCAACGCGCTTATCTCAGGAACGATTGATTCGATTTGAAAAATTCGTTCTGTGTTGGATAGCCCATTTATCGAGGAAGGCTATAGGCTATAAAACATCACGTTACGATCAATAGGCACCGAGTAGAGTCAGTGAAACTGCATGGAAGTAGCTTGTCAGTAAGTAGCTAGGCCGTCTTTCTCATGAGGGCAAAGATATGAATTTTATTTGAATAAACTACCAACTGGGTTTATTTCCATTTGCAAGGATTTTCTATAATTATAGTATACCTACTAAAGTTTTCTAGTTATAAAACTGCACTAGACAGTATTTTTTTACCCACTACGCAGGAGAAAATCCTAGTGTGGGGCACCGTTTTTAAAAATAAGCAAAAACAAAACAAACTTAACTCAAGGTTCGAACCTTAAGGTCTCATATTCAATAACATTAGACCATCCTTAATTAACAGCATTTCAGCATTACCTAAAGTACGGAATCCTTGTCTGTAATACACATATTTGTCAGTAGCACCACACAGGAACAATACTTCAGGTCTGGACAGGTAAGCACTGGCCTTATTCAGTTTGGGCAAGTTCACTTTGAAGTCACAGTCCATCACCACAGCTCCAATTTCGGGATCATCAGCGGAATAAAGAACGTAGTCTTCATAGTAATCTGTTCCAACATCGGGCTACAAATGGAAAAAAAGAAAATAAATAAGTGTGGGAGAGTCATGCTTCGGCACAAATCGCTTAGGCTCGCAACAACGCTAGTGTTGTATTTAGTCATATGAGTGACGTTTTCGGAGCGTAATTACGCAGTTTTTTTATTAATTATATTAAATCGGGATTAAAACATTCCTCGATTAAAATATCTATTGTAGAAATACTTTGTATCTCATTGATAAGTTCATAATTATATCGTCTGGACAAATAATGTTAAAAAAATGGCGGACATAGGTAATGCCACTTAGAAATGATTGAAGCACAAAAATGTCAGTGGTTTATTTATCTACATAACATAACATCACGCCTTTTATCCCCGAAGGAGTAGGCAGAGGTGCACATTATGACACTGTACAATATAACACCCAGTTTTCACTATTTATGTTATAAGTCCCATGTATTAGAGGATGAGCCTATTGCCATATACCGGGCACAATTTCAGACTCCGTGCTACTACTGAGATTTTTTTTAAACCCAGTAATACTTTGCCGACCCGGGAATCTAACCCGAGACCCGTTGCCCGGCAGTCGCAGTTGCGACCACTCGGCCAACGAGGCAGTCATGGTTTATTTATATGTGAGTGTGTAATGGGTTATCAGACTTAAAAAATGATAGACGTCCTTCGTGTGAATGGTTTTTTTGTTCTACGTGTAAGTTTATAGGAACCAGAGTGCCAAGCACGAATAACAATCGCATTCGTAACTTAATACTATCGAGCGCGTTCTTCGTTCTAATTGGTTGGTTCACTGGAACCGGCCAATCAGAGCGCCGAACGCGCTCGACACTATTAGGTCCCGAATGCGATTGTTATTCGTGCTTGGCACTCGTGTGCCACAGTTGTTGTTTCAAGACACTGTCCGCCATTTTTTCAATGTCCTTGCTCTTATATGATATATTAATTAAAAAGGTTAAATTATTATAGCACTTACGCCTTCTTTGATTTCATATCCATAGGACTTCAACACATTATTTGTCTCTGGACAGCTGATACTGTAAACCTTCTTGTTAAAGTTAACAGACTTCAAGTATTCAGCGATCGCGATCGCAGGTACTGTGAGGTTCTCCTGTAAATAAAATGAAATTAAACTAACGTGGTAGAAAAATCTACACTACCTACTTAATATTACATAACATAACATCACGCCTTTCTTTCCCGAAGGGGTAGGCAGAAGTGTATATGGCACTTATTGCAACTGTACAATGTAACACCCACTTTTCACTATGTATGTTATGAGTCCCATGTAATAGGGGGTGAGCTTATTGCCATATACCGGGCACAATTCCAGACTCCGTGCTACCACTGAGACTTTTTTAACAAACACAGTAATACTTTTCCCGACCCGGGAATCGAACCCGAGACCCATTGCCCAGCAGTCGCACTTGCGAGCACTAGGTCAACAAGGCAGTCTAGGAACTATAAACAATAATATCTTTACGGTCTGATCAAAAAAAATAGTTCGTAATTTAGTAGTCAGAATTGAATAACACAACTATTTGCTAAATAACATAACATAACATCACGCCTTTTATCCTTTTATCTTTTATTGTTTTGTAGGCAGAGGTGCACACAGAAGTAACACCCACTTTACACTAATTATGTTATGAGTCCCATTTAATAGGAGGTGAGCCTATTGCTATATACCGGGCACAATTCCATGAGTTTTTTTAAATACCCAGTAATACTTTGCCCGACCCGGGAATCGAATCCACGACAGCTTGCCTAGTAGTCGCACTTGCGACCACTCGGCCAACGAGGCAGTTTGCTAAATAGGCATAAGATATTATTATTTTTAATGTATCTTAGATACATAGAGGTACATTTGTGTAAAATAATCACACCCAAGAATAGTAATTCCACGTAATGTAGCCGTGTAAGTAGAATAAATCAATTATGTATAGATTAAAAGATTTTATGTGTGCGCTAAAGCAATATTTATGATCGTCTTACAAGATTGCTTAGGAACAAATTAGTATTTTAGTATTAATATAAGATACTAGCTTTGCCTCGTGGCTTACTTTCATGTAACGATTATTATTTATGATGGACATAATACAACATCACATCTTTTATCCCCGAAGGGGCAGGCTGAGGTGCACATTACAAAATTTAATGCCACTGTACACTGTAACACCCGCTTTTCACTATTTATGTTACGAGTCCCATGTAATAGGGGGTGAGCCTATTGCCATATACCGGGCACAATTCCAGACTCCGTGCTACTACTATGAACTGTATTTGTTTGTATTATTTGTTCAAGAACGCAACAGAAACTAGGAGTTTATTTAATTTGATTAATATTTTTTTTTTGCTAGAATGTCAAATTGGTGATTGACAGAATATTCCCTTTAGCTATTTCGACAACTAGTTTGGTATTCATGATTAGTCGCAGAAATATAATTATTTTACTTTTTTCCGATTTTTTTTGTTATTATACCCCACACTAGGATTTTCTACTATGTCGTGGGTGCGTTTACAAACATACAAGTTTACATACTTATGACACCCAGACCCGGAACGAAAATTTGTGGATCACATAAAGAGTTGCTCCGTGCGAGAATTGAACCCGCTACTCTTGTGCGGCCGCCAGTTTGCCATGGCTGGGCGCCATGGCATTAACCGTGCAGTCAGAAATGAGGTTTTGATAAAAGGGATATTCCTAACCAGGTTGCCCTAAGTACCTCTACTACTTGGCTAAGCAAAATTTATGCCACACCAAATTATGCCCAAATACATACAATTTTTTTTTATGGCAAAAGCCGGTAAACTAGCCGACGGATCACCTGATAGTAAGCAATCGGCGTCGCCCATGGACACCTGGAACACCAGGGGCGTTACAAGTGCGTTACCGGCCTATTAGTGATTAGGAATTTGAGAATCGTTGGGGATTCAAGAACTGGGGAGATCGGGGTAGTGGAGGGTAATTAGGCTTCCGGTAACATAACTCACACTACGAAACACAACGCAAGCGTTGCTTCACGTGTCGGTTTTCTGTGAGGCCGTGGTATCAGTGAGTACCAGTTCCAAAAACAAAAATAACATTCTTAAGTTAAGTAGAATGAGAAAAATATAACTATTTGTTTCTAAAACTGGTTTCAAAAACCATTAACATTGCTAATTAGGGTTCTAATCACGATGAAGGCATAATCTCTTTTATTCTTATGAATACCGATTCATCGTGGATGTCCCACACACTCGCACGAAGCGTTTCGGTTCAAGCTTCCTTGAGTCTGTCTTTCCTGAAGGTGTCTGTTTCTAAGGTCCGAGTGTATAGAATACTTATGTGCAGACAGGCTAAAAGAGTGTAGGTTTATTTAAGTGTGGGAGAGCCATGCTTCGGCGCGAATGCGCCGGCTCGACCGGAGTGATACCACGGCCTCACAGAAAACCGACGTGAAGCAACGCTTGCGTTGTGTTTCGTCGTGTGAGAGAGGTTACTGGAGACCCAATTACCCTCCTCTTTCCCAATCTCCCCAATCCCTGAATCCCCAACGATCCTCAAACTCCTAATCCCCAAAAGGCCGGTAACGCACTTGTAACGCCTCTGGTATTACAGGTGTCCATGGGTGTCGCCGATTGCTTACCATCAGGTGACCCATTTGCTCGTTTACCGGCTTATGCCATAAATAAAAATGGCATCACTGAAGAATTACTTCCAAGGGTATTCTTATCAGCTATGTTAATAGAAGTAAGACGATCTTGTTTGGTAATAAACTTAATGATAATGCTCAATCTTTTGATTGTACTAATAAATTCATTTATTTACTCATTCACACGGAACAATTGATGTTCCGGGTGTAAGTAAGTGTGATGCGCATGTAAAAATTGTACTATAATGCCTTGCAATACACCTAATAATGCAGGCGAAAATATAAGCGTGGGTTTTGCGTTAAAAAAAATAAACAATATTCTTTCTATTCTATATTAAACATTTTTCATTTTAGTAGGCTTACGCGAAACAGTGATCACGATTGATGGTAAGCGATGATGTGTTCAACAATCGAGTACGAATCGTCCACATGGAAACTTGTTCTAAACGTAATACATATTTTTCCTAAGTTTCCCAGTACTAAAATACTACACATTTCATTGCCAAACATGCAGATACGTCTATATATTTTGGCGTGATTTTATAACAAACATCCCTATAACTACCTAAACTTTAAGTAGGTATGTATATGTTATTAGGTATATTGATAACTATTTACCTCACTGCCACGTCAATTCATATTGCATTTACATAGCCAACGTGGCAATCCAGATAAAGGTTACCAAAATATTTATAGTCTAGATTATTTATTTATCAGTTGGATGACTTCGCACTAATATTATAAATCTGAGATTTCTTCTTTGTTTGAATGGTTGGATATTCGTCCGTCAATCAAGCTGAAACTACTGAACGGATTTTAATTTAATTTAGTATACAGGCAAGGTGGGAGCTGACTTACGTGATAGGACATTTTTATTGTAACTTTCGTGAGACATACTAAATCAATTATTATGTTTTCGGCTTACTCACAATAATAATTAGACGAGGAACTCGACTAGTTTCAAGCCATGCTAGAGGCTTATATTCATGAACAGCATTTCGCGACAGCTTCCTCGTCAAATTATTCCGTGAGTAAACCGAAAACATAATAATTTATTTAGGACATTTTTATCCTGATTAAATGCTCGCATGGATAAGACATGGGATTATATCATATTCTACGCAGACGACGTCGCAGGCAACAGCTAGTTACAAATACTGTTATTAGACTTTCGAGATAAGCTAAATTCATAGATAGATGTTATTATCAGTGTAATGATTCACTGAGTGGCGGCACGCGTTTGCTGGGTGTCTGACGTGTGAGCAAAACGTCATAGTCGAATGAATGCCAACGATCCACGTGATGATATGTGTATCGTTCGCTATAGTTCCTATGGAGATTTAGATAATAATCATAATCTCTGCCATCAATTTCATATATGCTAGTGTATAACTATCCTACTTGTATCTAATTTTGAGAAGGAAGGCAGCCTGTGTATTTTCGCCGATGTTTCTATATGCCAGGTGTCGACTGTGTTATTTAGGTAGCATCAATAGTTTAGCTAATTAATTGGTACGAATATTAATGATTTAGCCATTCTGTCATGGTTAAGGGATGAACATTTATTATTTGGTAAGTAGGAATTAGGAACCGCATTTCACCAGTTTTTTATTAAAATGCATTGCATTTACTTATCTGTTATATTTCCCTAATAATTTGATAGACAGAAGTTTATCTACGATGACATGTTATTTTTTGTAAATTCTATTGCAATTATGTTACGTTGATAATTTTAGGTGCGATGTGTCGATATATAATTATGTGACAGTGAAACCATGGCCACAGAACATAAGTGTGTAGTGTGACATAAATATGTGTTTAAAAATGCGTTTTTATATGAAATAAGCAAGAAAACGAGAAGACGGATCACCTGATGGTAAGCAATCGGCGTCGCCCATGGACACCTGGAACACCAGAGGTGTTACAAGTGCGTTACCAGCCTTTTGGGGATTAGTAGGTAATTTGAGGAATGCTGAGGATTTAGCGATTTGGAAGATTAGGGACGCCTCCCGCTCCCCCAAGGGATCCCGTAATTTCACTTTTCTTTTCTTTTCTTTTTAAAAAACGTTGCCCCACACTGGGATGATCTCCTGTGTCGTGGGTGCATTTACAAACATACAAGTTCACATACACATGACACTCAGACCCGAAACAACAAAATTGTGGATCTCACAACGTGTTGCTCAGTTGCTCCGTCGTATCTGGGTATCATGTGCATGACGTGAATTTCTATGTTTGTGAACGCACCCACGATATAGGAACAAATCCTAGTGTAGGGCAATGTATTTTAAAAGAAAAATGATTAATGACATAACAATATATAATTTGTTATAAATATCTGTCGATCGATATTAAATATCTAATACTTCGACAAAAATCAGCAAATCATGCTTAGTATATTAAATAATTTATATAATACCAAAAGATTAAAATTTAATAATCATTATGAATGTATAAATTCTATTTATGAATGTTAAATGTCAGTTGGCTTTATGAACATTCATTACATGATTAAGGATTTTTTTTTAAGGGGGGAAAATCATCGAATGACTTCTCCTGCCTGGGTGAGGCGGGAGGGAGTGTCAGACTCTTACTGACTAAAAACCACCCCGTTCCTTATCCTGCACTTCGAGCCGAAGCCCCGATAACCCGTTAGGTTCTCCGCGACATGATTAAGGATTAAAAATCATAATATTAGAGTTAAGTAATCACATTAAATACTAAACAATAAAAATAAAATGTGGATCACATTGTCTTACGGTTTAATTTTTAATAACCAATCCAAAAACTTTGTATTTGGTTTTTAACAAAAATTTCATAGTATGAACGTGAGTAAACCGAAAAACAATAATCTATTCAGAAACGTGTGTGTGAGTGTCTCACGAAAGTTATATTTTGTTATATATATATTATATACATGTATTTCAAAGATTCAATAATTATTTTCAATAATTGTAATAAAAAACCCATTAATAATTTCGTGTTTTAGTTAGAGGCTGAAAATTCGAAATGGAACAACCCTTTGACTTGTACTATTATGGATTTGTGGATTTGTGGCTTACTCTTGAATTCAATTCCGATCGATCGATATTGGTATTGTGAAATTTCGTTCTCTCGAGTTGCAGCACTAGCGCCCATTGCATCTATATTGGGTGGATACTGAATGAACTAAATGGTATTGAGTTTGACTTTATATTCCGTACTCTGAATGCTATTTCAACAACTACGATAGGGGTTTGTATAGTTTGACATTGAATCATTATTAAAATTTTATTGGATTGAAATTACATTGACATTGAGATTCGTTTCAAGAGTAAACACCCTGGTTTGAGTACGAAATTGAAATGTGTTCCTTACTGGATCACAATAAAGAAGAATTTTTTTTTTTAATACTTGAAATAGTGTAATGTTAAGTACGGGAGAGCTATGTATTTCAGGTGTCCATGGGTGACGCCGATTGCTTACCATCAGGTGATCTGGCAGCTCATTTACTGGCTTATCCCATAAAGAAGTGTTAATAAGAACATTTTACTTACGAAACCATTTTCAATTTCAGCGTCTTCAAACCGCCTTTCATAGTTTTCTCTACTTCTAAGGCTGTTGTTTGAAACGAAATGTACTTTCTTTCCATGTTTCTTCATCAGACTGAAGAATTTTCCAGCGCCAGGTAATGCAGTTTTGGCCCATATTACACCTGAAATAGAATTCAAAATTTAATTTCTGATTCGATGATGACATACATATTTCGGCGTAAAAGACGCGAGACGTATAGCTTAAACGATTTTTGTTTTATGGTTAGTGCAATCAAAAATGACATTGTCACTGTCGATCAATACTACGATGCCTGTATTTTTTGTCTTTAGTGTTTGACAAATGGATTAGCTGCTAATTGTACGGTAATCAAATATAATGACTGGTTGAATATTTGAAAGAGCGATTGTTAGATATTGGGTTTCGGATTTGATTGCCTAACACAGAATACCATTCGGTTTTTCTCTAAAATTTCTCACAGAAGTACGGAGTCGAGTAGTTACGACTACTGTATGGCAATAATCTCATCCCTGTTTAGCATTTCTGGGATAAAAGTGAATGATAAAGGTCCTAAGTCAGCATGTAGTCTGACAAACAATTCAATTTTGATGGCTCTTTAATTTCATGTTAGTCACAAATTATTCATTTCTCTAAACAGCTATATACCTATGAGCTATGATCTGCCAAGTCCATAAATATAGTTCGTTTCGTTACATAATCTAGCATCATCCATTTACGAATATACAATCGTTACGCATGAATACCTAGATGTAGGAAAATATTTTCGGAAATATAGGTAGGTCATAATAATCTTATACCTAGAATCTGATGTATTTTCCTTCAATAATAATGAATATATCTCGGGCTGTCTAAATCGTACTTAAAACAAGCAACTCGTTTATTTTATAAACATTACCAGCTGAGCCTGCAACTTCGTCCGCGTGGTATAGTGATTCACAGGTCCTCCCTCGTAAGTGATAGCGTGATAATAAATATGTACCCTATATGTTACCCAACCTGTAGTAATAATCATGCAATATTTGAATTAAATCCATGCAGTGTTTTTTGAAGTTACCCCGGACACACAACATAAAGACAAAGAGATAAAAAATTTAAAAAATCATATTTTTGGCTTCGGTATTGACTGAACATCACGGCCCAAGTATTGTTAAAAAAATCAATCTACAGTTTTGACTGTTCCACGACTTTATTATAAATGATTTTATGATTAGCGTATAGAGGTAGAATAGTTCGTAAGAAAACAATCTACTTCATAGTTAAATAAAAACTATTGATATTGTTATGATCATTAATTAATGCTTGACTTAAATATTCAATATATTTAATTCGTTCAATGTAAAATGTACAACTTTACAATATATCTATACATATAATAAAATTGTAAAAAAGTCAAAATTGTACACGGAATATTTTTTAAAGAATACTTGGGGCGTGATCTGCAATCGATACCGAAGCCAAAAATATGATTTATGGAATTTTTGTTTGTTTGTCTGTATGTATGTCCAGGATGATCTCAAAAAGTAATCCATGGATTTACTTCAAATTATGCACAGGTCGGGTCAATATATAGGTTAATTATTACACTATCGCCTCCGGGACTGAATCAATTCTGACGATATTCATTACCGTAGAATATCCTTTGATAAAAACTAATTCAAAAGCCTAAATTCTGCCAGAAGTCATTACTCTACGCGGACGAAGTCGCGGGCAACTGCTAGTAAAAAATACGGCTAGTTTCAGAATACAATTGTACACTTCAATGGGAATGACAACAGCTGATATTGACATAATCGTTGAAGTACCATTGACTTCGTACTGATAAGATAATAAACACATACTTTACTGGATATTATTTCCTGGTTTATGAGTATTTACATAAATAGTAAAAAACTAATATAATGTAGAATAATGTTCACTATAGAATCATTCATGTCTAAAGAAAGTTATGACCTATCCTGTTGATGAATTCACTGGCAATATACGGAACTAGAGGTCAACGTAACCTATTTAGTTAGTATTAAAACCGGTTTAACTAGACCAATATACCTAACTATACAAAGAAACAATAATAAGACACATTTTTAAATTACGATTTTGACACACACATAAATCTATCACCTGGTAACAACACTACCAAAAACCATACCATAATCGAATAATCGAAACATACCATCACAATCCGAGAACACGTAATCGAAAGAATCGAGAAACGATTTAAATTCTTCAGGTTTTAACTCCTGTAGGTTCACTGGTGTCGAATTCATATCGAGAATCGATTTTCTGTTATCGATACACTGTTTATATGATATTTATCGTTGTTTTATGAGCACACGTGTGTTCATAACCTCGCCACGATCACTACTGCGCTTGCGTCAGACTTCACGTAAATATAAAGACGGCTAGACGTGTGTGTTTCCATGCAAACTGTTCATTCGGCATTTTTTATTGTGAGTGTGAGTGAATCGGGATATGTGTGCGAGTAGGAGAATGGAATGGAATTTTAATTAAATGTTCTATCTAAACTATTGTTGTTCTATACTAATTGAATTAAAATGATAAAGACAGCATTACATTTTGTAATTGTATTCTATTTATGTATACTACTTTTAGTGCCAACGGCTTTTTTTTGTTTCTGAAAAAAAATGTATTTATGGTGTAACTCGCTCACTGATGTAACGTGAACAAGAGATTATGAAAGTTCATTCCACGTGGAATTATTCACGTGGAACTTTGATAATCTCTGTAAGTATCTATCTTTGTGATATTGAGTGCTATGCAATTTTTATCTAGGTATTAAATTGTACGCATTGAACGATAAACATACGTTATTTTGATTATTACAAATGTCACGTTGTAATATATTAATTTTTATCTTTATTTTTTTTTATTTGATTTTCAACATTTAAAATTGTTGTAAAAATTAACTTGCATTTTACGTTCGCGCTATGTCATTGACGGTTTCCAACAAAATTTGTAAAGAATATTTACTAGATATTTTTGAATTAGGTCTAAAAAAACAGACCTGGCAATTGGGACGATGACAGGGTATGAAAATTAAAAATCTAATTAGTCCGTCAGTTAGGTAATGAGAAAATATTAGACACATGTTTTTTATTTTGTTGTATAATAAAACAATACTAAGATAAAACGAATCAAAGTTTAGGAGTGGGAGCTAATACGTCATTTCTACGTATAAAATGTACATAGAAGTGACGTCACGTGACATTTCAAATCAATATATCGTCGACAGTATAAAATAAAAATTAGGCATCTATCCTATTCTTATAATATGAAGGCATGAAAATTATGATCATCATGCGTGCTCAAAGCAAATTGGAGATCCAAATGACATCCACATACTTATGATCCTCTGAATTTGAAAAACACACATTATATATTATTTTTAGCCACTTCAATAAAAAAACAAAATCTAAAACTCTTTCCCGTAGATCGATCAATCGGGACTTCCAGGGGTGAACAACCCTTTAAACAGGGTCGAGTAGATTTATTACCCGTTAAACTTTAGTAGCACCCCAGAGAGATCTTATGAGGCAGCGAACTAGCCTAGGAAATTTATCTACTGCTATGGCCTAGGTATCGGAATTAACCCGTAAGGTAAAATAAACTTCACCAATCTAAAGAACGAAATAGTTTATTGCAAGCAAAAACCCCAAGAGCATATAACTATAAGCTCTTGAGGTTTTAAGTATTTTATGGTTAGAAGTGACTTTAGTTTCGATAGAAGAGTTCTAAGTATTACGAGGTATTTTTATGGACATTATCACTTATTGTATTAAGAGTGGCATAATGTCTACTCTGTAGTAAGGAAAGACTTGTCTTGTACTACTTAATTGAGACGAACAATAAGAGATAAGTATGAAGTCAAAATTCTTATAATTAGATATAATAATCTTATACTATCAGCTCTTTAGTGAAATTATTTACTTATTGTAATGTCGACTTCAACTCTTATCTAGTCAATATTTGGTAAGATTTCTCGATTAGGTTCAAGCCACGTTTGGAGCTCATAATCATGTAATTAGGCGAAGATTTTATAAATTTCCTGTGAATTTAAAATACTTCTAAATTTGAAAAGTCTCGTATATACCACAATAATGTAATACAATGGAAACGCACCGCTACAACTTATCGATCGTCCGTCCACGACGCGATCTCGACCTTGATATTAATTTTTACCGTAAACGAACAAATTCTAAATTATGTAGTAATATTATTTTGATTCTTTCACGTGATATCGTTTATTTCTGGAATGAAAACATATGTCGTGGCCAACTAGATTAATTAATCGCTTAACAAACAATGTAACTTTTTTATAAATGACGCTATTCCATTTAGTAATCGTCAGGCATCAGAATCGTGAGAAATTAGTAGATTCAAGTTGCGAACCATTGACAAGGCGTAGAACAAGAGATTGAGATAGAGATTCCAACTGATCATAATGATGATGATGGTGCCCATCGATATGCTTAGTGGTCTCATGAAATCAATTAATAAGTAATTTTATACGCGTCAATGAAGCGGTATTACCATCAGATTTAAAACTATGAGTATTAATCAAATTAATAAGCAATCAGATTGGGGTAGTCTGGTCATCATCATCATCATCATGGCAAATATTATTAAAGTGTATTAATTTTTCCAAACAATATTTATCTTTAGGAGGATACAAAACTTGTTTATTTAGAATGTACTGGTAGGTACCGGCCGGTACCATCACCAAAATATTTTAAATATAATTTTTATATAAGGGGGTCTCACGTGGAAACGTCATGCTTTGGCAAAATTGGGCTTGACCAGAGTGATAACATGGCTTCACAGAGCCGGCTTAAAAAAACGCTTATGTTATGTCTCGGTGATTGAACAAAGTTATCAAAGGTTGGCAACTCCTCTGTACTAATGACTCATCTTGTTCTTCTCCTCCTCTGTCCAAGGATGTCAATTCTTTACCATCAAACGATCCACCTGTTTGCCCAAACCTATCCAAAAAATTGGCAGTGTGGAATTTATTACATTACATGCAAATCTGAGGATAATATCATTCATTTACATGTAGTCTTATACCCATTAGACTTTTTTTTAAGGGGGGAAAATTATCGAATGACTGCTCCCGCCTGACTGAGGCGTGAGGGAGTGTCAGACTCTTATTGACTAAAAACCACCCCGTTCCTTCTCATGCACGTCGAGCCGGAGCCGTAACCTGTTAGGTTCTCCGCGACTCCGAATCGGCATCAGCCCTGTTGGGCCCCATCTGTGGTGGTCTGATGGGTCTTTTAGGCGCACGTGGAACGTGGAACATACCCATTAGACAGCCTCGTTGCCGAATGATCGCAAGTGCGACTACCAGGCAGGGGGTCTTGGGTTCGATTTCTTTGTCGGGCAAAGTATTACAAAGAATTTTTTAAATCTCAGGTAGTAGCACTGAGTCTTGTTTAGTGTCGGATATGGCAATAGGCTCACCCCCTATTACATGGGACTCATAACATAAATAGTGAAAAGTGGGTGTTACTCTGTACAGTGGCATTAAGTGCTGTAATATGCACCTCTGCCTATCACTTCGGGCATAAAAGGCGTGTTTTTATGTCTTATATTCCATTACACAAACATAGATTATTACTATCACAAACTTAATACATTGATAACTCAAGTGTCAAACATACGTTTTAACGTATGAATATTAATAGATAACAATGACGTTCAGCTAGCTGTTGCTATTGTAAACATTGCTATGTATAATACTACAGGATCTGCTTTTAAAGCATTTTCTACTCTCATGTCAATGCTCTTAGGTTTTAAATGCAATGCCAGCTTGGAATAGTGCTAAGTATTGTAAGTATGTGTTGCTTTGACACTACTGACTTCATTTTACCTGTAACGAAGTTATATAAAATACAACGTTGTTTGTTAACGTTGGTTGTTAAGTGGACTGAGATACGGTATTCGATAGATATTTTTTTTATATTTGTAATAGACTATGAAGATTCTAAAGAACCTGGTTGCAAATATAAAAAAAACAAAACATGGCTCGTTGGCCGAATGAGTCAAACGTAGGTCATATTTCTAAGTCAAACTTGAAAAAAAATCCAATATTCTATGAATTTGGGATCACTGTGTCTTAAAATAATATTATTATTAATTGTGTATTTGATGATTAGAACTGATAAATAAATTATTAAAGTAATATAATCAATAAAAAAAATTAGGCTAAGTGCATTTCTTTTTTGTTTTTACAGTTTTAGAGTTACCACGGGTGTCATTTCAAAATGAACACTAAAAGTTAAATATCTTAACATAACATAACATCACGCCTTTTATCCCCGAAGGGATAGGCAGAGGTGCACACAGGAGTAACACCCACTTTTCACTATTTATATTATGAGTCCCATGTAATAGGGGGTGAGCCTATTGCCATATACCGGGCACAATTCCAGACTCCGTGCTACTTCTGAGAATTTATAAAAACTCAGTAGTACTTTGCCCGACCCGGGAATCGAACCCGAGACCCCTTGCCCGACAGTCGTACTTGCGACCACTCGGTCAACGAGGCAGTCGAGGTCGAGTCGAGGCAGCGATGGAATTCAACTATTCTATAATTCCATACGAGATTGTGGTCGAATTACAAATCACTCTGAATATTGAGAATTGAAACCAGAAATTCATGACTGGCAGTGATTGTGGGCACTATTTCACCAAGGAGGTAGTCATAGCGAGTAAACCAGAAAATATAATAATATTACGAGAATTATTAGTAATTACTAATAATTATTTCACACGTGATTCGTAAGAGCATGAGTAATGAATAGACATATACCAGATCTTTTTCCTTCCTGTACCAACACCTATTTGTTTTCTTATATTGCTATTGGTAGCAACAAAGCCAATGAGTGGCCTGATGCTAAGCGGTCATCGTTGCCTAAGTACATCTGCAAATCCAGAGGTACGATGACTATTGTGGTGTAATTTACTAGCTGTTCTGTTATACGAAATATATACCTATTTTTTTTTTGGGTTAAGCCGGGCAACGAACTTATGGATCCCTTGATGGTAAGCAATCGGCGTCACCGATGGACACCTGAAATACCAGAGGCGTTACAAGTGCGTTACCAGCCTTTTGGGGATCAGGTATTTGGGAATTGTTGGGATTCAGAGATTGGAAAGTTTAGGGCAGAGGGAGGGGTATAATTGGGCCACCGGTAGCCTCACTCATACGATGAAACACAATACGATAAGATTTAAGTTTTTTTACAAGATTTGGGCCCATTACCGTACACTGCATGAATTCTGGATCAGGTATAGATTACCGTGGCTGTGGAGACTCACATGAGTTACCGTTGGTGTAGCCCTGACTCGAAGAAGGAGTT